CAAGTCAAGTAAAACATGAATCATATAACCATATTCAGTATTTCTTGCTGGATACACATTTATTGTTGTTGTTTTCAAGTAAATCTGATAGATTTCTTCAGTAATGTGATTTCCCCAGGACCGTTTTTAATAACAGGTGCTGGTATGACTTGAAATGTTTTGTGCGTGTGTGTGTGTGTGTGTGTTAGTCACCAAAAGAAACCGAAAAAGACAAGAATGCAAATATCGGAGGTTTCCAGTGGGCATCAGTTACGTATTCGAGCAGAAGGAAGGAAAGTTTCTTCAAAATCTTGACCCCAAACGTGAGATAAGAACCAAATTTCCACCGAAGGAGCATAATGCTCATCCTCTCACCCGTGAGGAAGGTATTCCATTTGGAAAAGAGGTGGTGAGGTTACGTCTACCTGTCTTCTTCATAAGAAACCCTGCGTCTATGGAGATGTTTCTCACAGCACACTCTCTGTAACTATTTCCTTTTCTCCGTTACGCTCTTCGTGGCAAACCACATCTTCCTGCATCAGTGACGTATGTCCTTCGCAGGGGCCCCATTAGAGGTGTATGAACAGATGCTTAGATACTGATTCAGAGTCAGATTTGATGCCTGTCTAGCATTTCGTTCGTGAAATCAGCTGCATAGATCACAGCTAAATTGCAATACTTCATCCAGTCACCAGGAAAAAAAAATCTAAAATAGATATTTATCGAATTACTGCTTCACGCACAGATAATTCTTACAAACACTGCAGTGTGAGAGAAACACTATGAAGTTATTTTATTATCTTTTATGGGTATGTCAAGATTATATTATGCACCTCCTGATAATAGTTTTGTATATACAGTAGTGTAACTACAATAATAGTGTTTCGGTTGATTGATCTATTTATAGCTCAGACAGAAGAACTACTTGTGTTTCATTCCGCAAGGTATCCTTTACAGGAAAAGTGACTGGTTTCAGCAAAACATTAAGTAATTCTTATGGTGAAGGGGATTCAAAAGAGGAAGATGGAAATTCCACTGGGGATAACCTTGAGAGGATCATTCCTTGCCTTATCTCTCTTGTTTGTTCTCCATTCCAGTTTATTTGAATTACTCCACTTCTCGGCCTCTTGCTTTTTAAAGCTGACTCAAAAAGTTAAGAGAAAAGATGGGCTACTGCTCAACACTGTATTTACACGGACATGTATAACTGACAATAAAATTATATATTTCTGAAAGATATAAACAGTTAACAGAGTTAAAACAATGGTTATCATGTCTTTAAAGATACACAAATTCAGAAAGTTATACCAAAATGTCTCAATATGTATTTAAATGATTTAGGGGTGAAATAATTGTTATACATGCCCATTACTCTTCTGAGGTTACAGTAGTTGTAAAAATATACATCCACACACTGGACACAGTTCAGTGTACCTCTATTGGACCCATAAAAATCATAATAGGACAGTATACACACCTACAGTTTCTACAACTGAGATGTGACTAACACTAACATACAGTCTGCTATGTTTTTAGAATTATTAGCCTAGGTTTGACATATATATATATATTTTTTATTTATTTTTTTATTTTAATTAAAAGTCAAATGACATGAAAAAAGTTCAATCAACGCTTGAGAGACGTTGAAAATATTACAAACGTTATTGATGAAGAGAAACACCTGATAGCCTAGTCATATTCTTCAAGGCTATCTAATAACAATGCTTCTATTATCACTCGCAACAGGTTTAAAGGTCACATGACACTAGTTTACACAAGATTGATTTTCATGCTTAAAATGTCCGAAAGAGTGGGCTTTAGCGGTTGGGATACCCTCGCACCTCTGTCTTGTAATTTCAAAGACGGAAATCCCTGGCCAGTGAGTCACGCGCGTGGGTGTAACGCGGGGATTCCGTGGCTCTCGCTCCGCAATCTGACTATAGATACATGCAGAGAACCTATTAACTCATGAAAACAAAACTTAGGTTGGACTTTATTCCTAGACACTTGGCATATTCCACATGACATTTAGGTTACCAGTATTAGAAATGCGTGCTTTAAATGTGACTGATATATTTTCTTTAGGCTAGACCCTACCATTTTCACAAGCTTTTCTCTGTAAAAATGAGACCCACACCCAATAAAAACGGGAAATGAAAGTCGAACAGGGAGGAGTAATTTATCAAGGGGTTTGTCCAAATAGCTGTAAAAAATGAAGTCGGTGACTGACAGTAGGCCAACTCTATGTTGTTGGGGGATCCTTTATTCAAATGAGTTAGCCTAAATCTATTTTTAAACGGTCATACATCACTGGACTGAGGTCATGTAAACAGCAAAAGATATGCCATATGTTGTTTCCAGCTAAATGATTGTATTTAATAGCATTTGTGTATTTAGTTAAATTAGCCTACTTATTAAACGCTTATGTCAATGTATTATAGAGGTCCTAATACAACCCGAACACTGGCACCTGTCTCTTGTCTTACACTCACACACACTAAAGATACAAAAGCTGTCATTGGGTCGGCATCTTTTAAAAAAAAAGATGAAAGCCTGAAAGGGTACTGGTGACAGCTTTTGTACTTTTTTCCCTGAAATATTTGGCTATTTTTCTTTTTTACTCCACCATTTCATAAAGCCAACTTATATTCCCCATCACTTTGTGCTGTAAAAATTCTGTCAATAAACAAACAGGTCTTACTTACATTTCTGAAAGTGCATGTCAGAATCCCTTTTGCTGTCTTTAATTCTCGGCTCCCACGCCAGGTGAAATGAATGATGCCAGACGCAGAGCAGCCTCTGATAAATGTCAACTCCTCCAGTCACTGCCTGTTATTAACTGATTCCGGCACGTTCCACTATGTATACAGAGAGCACGTTGTATTCAGCCAGCCCTTTTTTTTGTAGCTCCACCCACTGCTGATGACGAGCTGTCAAACACATTGGAGGAAGGTTGGTCGGTTTGCTTCTGACAGCAGCAGTAAGGGTTTCTCTCTCTCTCTCTCTCTTTCTTTTTTTTTGCATATCTGGTCAGTGACAAATAAGGATGTCTGAGATGATAACAAGAAGAAATATTTTAGAAATTTTAGTTTAAAACGTAATTTGTTTTGTAATTGTCATCTTTGTTTCATGGTTTTGGTTTGATTTCATACATTTTTGAGAAACATTTCTTGTACTAAAATATTTTCCAAGTACCTTTAATATATACAATCTAATAAAGTTTAGGTGTTAGTTATAACTTTAAATCTTATAATATATTAAATATAGGCTTATAGAATTAGAAAATAACCTCATCATTTCAACCTCACCATAAAAAAGTGTATTTAAGTAATTGCTGTTGATTTCCATCACTGTTGGAAATATATTTAATATAATAATTAATATTAATAAAATATAGACAGTGCTTCTTTTGTAGAGTTAGTTTTTTTTCTGTGTAGTTGATGACTATTATCTACCCCCCACACACACACTAAACTTTGATCTGCTAATTTGCCTCAGAGATGTTAACCATTATGTCCATTTCCTCCATTCTCACCATGACATGAAAATGTCTTCCGTTTCTTCCTGCTCCTCCTCCACCAACTCAATCTCCACCCACTCATCCTCTCACAGCTGCAAAAAAGTGGAGAACTTTAAATGCCTAAGCTCGACTGCTGTTCACTTTGTAGTGGTCTTACAGTTATTTGGTGTGTAATGAGAAAAGCACTCTTTAAATAAACATGATGATAAGCATGATAAGTGCACACTTAGTACATTTTGAAGTAGTACTTTAAAAATCTGATCTGAGATGTGCATTACATGTGGCATTGCCTCTCCATACTTGTTTGTTCATGTAGTACTTTTGACTAACCTCAGTATGAACCAGATAGCTGTAGATCTTCAAGAGCAAGATTTAGAGCCCCTCCATTATGGGTCCTTAAAAATGTAAACAACATAAGGCTTTATGGGTATTACAGCTCAGTTTTTTACATTCTAAAAGAGGAGTGGAATTCAAGTAGTCTATAATTAGACTGAGGCAGTGTCTCCTGGCTTGTGAACGGAACTTCTGTCTTCATGGCTCTATCTAGTGGCCAAAAATATTACATGTATACATGCAGTGTTGAGGTAAATTCATGTGCTCCATAATGTGGCATAAACAACATTTCATTGCATCATTACATAATCTACAAATTAAAAACAACATCAACAACAAATGAGATTTTATAATTTTATAAAAGTATATTATATAAATAAATAACCCAAGCTGAGATCAACCCTATGGATTCACTGTTGGATATTTATGTATTCATACAGAAAGTCTGACAAGTCTTTTCAGTAAATATGTGAATTTAAAGTAATGAAGTTCTAATTCAGTGTTTTAACTGATCATATCACATGCTCAACAGAAACACAGATACTGTAGAATAGGCAGATAAACATGAACATCATTTTCTTGTTCATGACCACATACATATGCTAGACACAATTCATTAGGCTACCTTCTTTATAGATTTCCAGAGAGCAGTTAGAACCCAGATTCAGCCTCAAATGTAGCTCTTGTTCTTTGTTTGTTTCGTTCTTTTTCTTTCTATCTAATGTTTTGAATGTAATAAAGGGGCATTTATCACTATAGATTAATTCCTATATACAAACTACTATAGTAATTATATAATGACTAAGTCACTCAATGAATAGCATCATAATTCAGTCTATTACAATTTTTACATCATAATTGACTGGCAAAGTTGAGCAACCATGACAGTAATAGCCAGACAGAGACATGACAATAGAAATGCGTCAGAGGTGTCAGTCTGTCACCTCTGTACCATTGAGTGTGACACTCACAAATGGAAATATTCTATATCTGGAAATATTTTGTCTAGTTTTTTTGGACAGTTCTGTTCTACACACAGAGACATACACGCACGCACACACACACATGGTAGACGGTTGTTATGGTACATCCCTGTAAGGTACAGAATTTGGGTATAAAGAAATTAGGAATGTAGTCACATGATTCATATCCCGGAAATACACTGCTGTCGATGGGAGGAAATGGCGTTATGAGCCGCTCCAGACTGTAAGAGAAGTGGGGCAGTAACGTTAGCGTCAAGAGACAACAATCACTAACCCGCGGCTCTCGGTTTACCAAATGAAAGAAACGCCCAACCTTACATTAATCATAAATGTGTATTAATACAGTTGCACACTCGATTATGTAAGGGCGCTCCAGATGGACAAAGACAGACTCGCAGTGAGTACATGCTAAAATAAACACGAGGAAGTAGCCTTAAAAGGGGCGTGTAATGTGTTTCATGGCTTGAAGAAATAAAGGCGACATAAATGCAGACGGAAGCATTTTATTGGCGTACCTGTAGGCTATTTAACAGCACAGCGATGCGGATCGATGGAAATGTTTTGATATTTAGTAAGATGTATCGCTTGATATCGTACGCTTAACGCTTGTATCGCGTCTTGTTACGCGTACCTAAAGGTGTCATTTTCTCATGATGCGATTTATTCTATGACCCCCGTTATCCTATTGCTTTAAGGCTGTATTTATTTACTTTAATATTTAACAAATATTAAAGAAATAATTTAACAAAATGTGCATATGCAGCAATGTGACATTGATATATTTAAACATGATATATTATCTTAAAATTATATTACAGTAGGCTATTTACAACTAATTTTTATTTATTTAATACGAATATTATTTAATGCAGGCTGGTCCATGCTCATGGCTGGATATGCATAATTTTATTGGTGACCTTATGGCTGCAAATGCTTCAGTCACTGGTCATCCACTGAGAGAGCAACATACTGAGGAGACACAGAGTTCTGCTTGGCCCACAGTCTCTCATCCTCCCCAGTCTACCCCATCCAGACAGAGCCAGGTGAAAAGTGCTGTTCGGTTTGGTTTGCAGGAAAGGGAAAGGGAACCCAGAGGTCATGAAAGCCACGGTGAGTAAATATTACAATAGACTGTAAGGGTACTGTGCCGCTGTGTTATAAATACACTTTCTCATGCAAAAGGATTGGGAAACATGCATAATTTATTGATTCAAAGGTTGTAACAGCTCCAATTCTTTTAGTACTTCAGAGGCATTTACTTATTGCATTAACTGGCCTCAGCAGCATGTTGCTAAGTGAGGAGATCATTTTAGATTTCAACAGAGATACAGCAAATAAAAATACATTTAATACATATTAAAATACATTAATAAATTAGTCTTGTTGCAAAAGTTGAGTTCACAGGCTTTCTAGTGCAGATCAGACACTCTATATGCAATCTAGTCATGTGTCCTATAACTGTATATTAAGGAAGAGATCATAATAATTGGAGTCATCAGGTCATTATCACAAATTAAACCCAGACAGGGTGATTAGAACCTGTGTATATTATATACGAAACATAGGTTTTAAGGAAATAGATGAGCAGTCAGTAATACAGTAACACCATGTATGATAGCTGAACCTAGCTAAATAGAATATAAGTATTCCAGAGAGCCATACAATAAATAAAAATACTAAAATGATTTTAATAATAATTTTCGTCTATTTTTATAAAATGCCACTTAATGTGCCAAAGCTCATAATATGTATATTTAACTACTTCTTGAACCAGTTCAGATATTGAAGTACATGTTCGCCCGAATAACAACCGGTTCTCGGTTTCCAACCCTGCCAGGAAATAGTTTAATATTAAGTTTTATCATGTTTATCCATCTTATACTCACTGCCTCATTGATTTATATCTTTTGTAGTTCAGCATCGTGCCTGCACATGTCCTGGCTGCCCTCTTTCCTCATCTCCTTCTAGTTCCTCAGTCCACACCTTAAAACCCAGAACCAGCCCGGCCTCCCAGATCCAACCACATTCATCCCCACAATCCACCCCACCGCAGCAGACTAAAGAGCCCAGTGCTGCCCCTGTCGGCCTAGGCTTGTGTCTAGGTTTGGGACTCTCTCTGGAAGAGGAAAACACCGAGCCCAGCAGCACATCTGGTCACCCCCAACAAGAGGACAAAGGCACTAGCACCCACAGCCCAATCCCTCAGGCAAATCCCGAGTCCCCACCAGTTCAGGCCTTTCCGTGTCTATGCTGCCAACATGGGTTTCAAACATGTAGCCAACTTCTACGCCAACAAAAGGACTCAGAGGCACACATTGCCCATCACCACTATCATCACCACCACCATCACTGCCCGCTCACCACCTGCACGTCATGTACGCTCCCATCGTTCCCTTGCCTATCCTGCCAGCGCACCTTCCCCACCTGTGCCCAGCTCCTTCGCCATCAGCAGGGCCACGCGCAACAGGAAGGCTTGCAGCAGCTCCCATGCATGCACTGCAATGCCTCTTTCCCCCGGCCATCGCAACTGCTGCAGCACCAGCGAACCCAGCATGCGTCCAAAACCGGCGGCTTCCTGTGCGCCGAGTGCGGCCGTGCATTCAACTCGCACAGCAATCTGCGCATCCACCTCAACGTACACACAGGTGCCCGTCCATACAGCTGCTCCGACTGCGGCAAGAGCTTTAGCCAGTCTGGGGCGCTTAAGATTCACCGCCGAATTCACACCGGAGAAAGACCGTACACCTGCACTTATTGCGGACGGGGTTTTCCTCACTTAGCTGGGGTGAGAGCGCATCAGCGAATTCACACGGGGGAGAAACCGTACCACTGCGGTCAGTGTGGGAAGTGCTTTACTCAGTCCGGGGCTCTGAAGATCCACACTCGCATCCACACTGGCGAGAGGCCTTTCGTGTGCGGCCTCTGTGGGAAGAGCTTTTCAAACCGTTCCGGTATTCGCTTTCATCACCGCACGGTTCACGGGATCGTGACAGAGCCCAACTCTGTGGGAAGGCCTAGCCTGGCTGCCTCTGCGTCGTCCTCAGTTTCAGACTTCCAGAGAATTCAAGCCTCCGGTCTCAACCAGATCCATCTCCCGGAAATGGAAGAGAGGAGTACGCTCAGTAAAGAGCAGTTTAGAGGGGATGGGGACAAAGATGCCCTTCCATATGCCTGCGAGGACTGCGGTCAGCGTTTTCCAGACGCTCCGTCTAGAAACAAACACCAGACATTGCAACACTACTCTAAGGAAGAGAGAGAAAAGGAAGAGAGCAGCTCTGACAAAACTATAGTTTAGACAAAAACAACAAACATTTCTGACTCCATGTATTTCAAAAGATAAAAGCAGCTTTAATATGTAATGTATTAAGGCAGATGTTGAGCCCCTTTGAAGCTTGCTGATATTATCACACTGTTAAGTCATAACGTAAGAAATATTGTTTGTGTCCAAGACGCTATACATTTCAATTGAGAATGCTATCTCATTTATATCACACATTTAAGCTAAACTTACAGTGTACACTACAGTCTCCAGGCTCAGTATTTTAATGATTTATAAAGAATTAACCATCTGAGATTTCGGTATAGAGATAAAGGTTAGGATCATGATTTATTTGTTAGTATTACAGCACACTATGAGCGTACTGAATATCACCACCATTTGTTGTTTGCTTTGGCATATGATAGAGCGCTTGGACCCGGAAATGGTGGCGTGTGGCGTCAGACCTAACATTCTTGTTTTGGTCATGTAAGATTCTTTTGCCTGTGATTTGTGCCTCTAAAAAAGCAAAGTTGTGACAACCTGTATTGTGAAACTGCACCTTAAACTTTAAATAAGTAGCTTTACCAATCAGTATTAAGGTATTTGTGCATATTCATTAGCAAACCTGCACTAGTTTTTCCACCCTCGAGCCAGAGGTTACCAGAGAGCAAAGAGAAGAAGGCTCGGTTTACAAAGCTCATGAGTCTCCATGTCACCAAAGCCGTTCTACCAGCATGATTCTCCTGGCCTGAGGACGGTTAGCTAGAAGTGCTGATAAATCCAAAACTGGAAGGGTTTGTATTTGTACTTTGTACTTAATGCGACTCGTACCACAACTGGTATTGCTTACAATCATGCAGCCCGATAGTGGAAAAGTGCTTTATTTACATTTTAGCACTTTGTACGTATGTATGTGAAAGTATTTTGCAGGCTTGCAAGTAGTTTTTTTAAGCTTTTAAGTTTTTTTTAACCATATAGAGCAGTGGTTTTCAAACCTCTCCATGAAGTACCCCCAGCATTGCACATTTTGTGTGTCTCCCTATATCTGGCACATCCACTTCAGGTCTTGCAGTCTCCACTAATGAGCTGATGAGTTGAATCAGATGTGATAGATGAGGGAGACATACAAAATGTATAGGGCTGGGGGTACTCAGGACATATTTGAGAACCACTGCTACAGAGGATAAGTGGTTTGGAGAATGGATGAATGGTTGTGATTGCTTTCTTAGGGTAAATGCAAGGTTTTAAGCCTGAAATTGACAGAGCACAGTTTTGTGCTGAAGTAGCAGTGCCTTTCTTAATGGGAATCTTGAAAAGCACATGCAAAATAAGACAAAAACAGTAGATTCTGGCTTTAAAATTTAGAAATCAAATATGGTCATTAAGATTATTTGTCACACATGCGAGCGTGGTTGTAAAGTTAATGCAGTTTTAAATTAAACAACACTCTTACTGTATTTAAAGTCAATTCAGCTTGTTGTGTGGGGATAAATACTATGACATTATTCGCATATTTGATGTACCTGCCAGGTGTTGCTTACTGTATTTGTGGCCTCCGCAGGGACTGACAGTACACACGACTGCATGGAGTTAGGGGCTGCCATTTTTACAACTGGCCAAAGGTTTGTTGTTAAAGATATCTGTAAGTACCTCTGTATTATTACTTGGAATTAAAGTTTGGCAAAACTGTCAGGGGAAATGAATTGTCCATTATTTTTGTGTCCATTTTGTATCTTTACCATTACACTGTTGATATGTGAACCCTTCTTATGTGGTATTGCAAATGTTGGCCAGTGATAGCAGTCAATGATCTCTCAACCCAGAGCATCAGATACTTTTTGTACATCTGTCAGTTTAGCACATGTCTACAATATATGTCTATTGTGTACACATGTATCAACAGAAATACATGTTGATGTACCTTATTTGAAGTTAACATTTTAAGAGTTTAAAATGTTCAACTTTGTGATCGTAGTGAAATAAGTTTGGTTTAATGATGTATTCTGTTTTGTTGATTAATTATGTAACTGTAACATTTGTGATACATTTCAGACCAGAATCCTTGAACCATGTCTTGGGGTTACATATTCTCAATATGAGACATGACGCTTTGTCTACAACAAACAAGTAGCCTCCTACGATATTTTTCAAAACTACAACTAGCAGCGTGCACTTGCTGAAAAATTCACCTTTGCTGAGTCACCTACAGTCACCTGTGACTGTCTGAAATTACTGTAAGGTCAATGAACTTTAGACTAGGGAATTTCCACTGCTCCCTAGCTACTATTCTGCCCTCTTCAAATTTCCAAGGCTATGTATTATTTAATGGCCTACTACTAAGTACATTCTAACCTGCATGTTTATTATTTCTCTTCCCTCCAGTGACCTGGGTCAAGGTTTTTTTTTTTGGCTTGCTGGTAAGAGAAGATAATATTCTCTCCAGATCTATTTACACGCATGTAAAGTGTTTCTTAAAAAAATGTATTAGCCTAACATGACCTTTTGCTGTTTCAAGTAATTCCAAAGAACTTTTGCACTGGGTTGCATATATATATATATATATATAATGCAAACTATCAAATGTTTACATCGACAACTCAATATAATGAGAGGTATAAAGAATCCATTAACCATATCGATAAAGTTTTTTTTTTAATGAAAGAAGGTGAGGTAAAAAGGACTTTAAAAATGACTTTAAGGATGTTATGACTAGGTTGGCTACAATAAACAGTTTTAAATGTATGGAAGATTTTAAACTTTTTTCAGTAGGCTACTTGTAACGCGTCACCTGTCATAAAATAGACTTTTTAGAATAGGAATTACAGTTTCTGAGGATGTAACCGCAACATTGGCAAATTTAAGTAGTCCTGATGGCATTATTTAAAAAAATTGCAGATTCACATATCAGACGTTTGTCATACAAAAACGAAACAACATTTTTACGTGCTGATAGGTGTCATACTAAACAGCATGCCTTTTCACTTTGAAACTAACTGACCTTCAGAACATATATTATGCTAGATACAAGTGACGCATACGCTTATTTGGATGAGGAGTTCGATATGTTTTGATATCATGGCGTAAGATAGCGTTGTCTCTAAGTATTTTTGTAATATGACAGAACAAATATAAAAATAATAAGATTCATTTGTAACATTATATTAGTGCATCGTTGTATCTTTGTAATAAATAGGCTACAAAAGAAACAATAGCACGGTAAATCTCGCAAGCTCCACCTTCTTCCGCGCTCATAAATTGTGTTTACAAACTTTCATTTCGGCAGAAGATTCTCTCAAACGCAGAAGTCAAGATCCTTCAAAATGAAAGGCTATATTTTCATCACTGTCCTGGCGTTCACCTTTGTCCAAAGATACACAGGTATATAACATTTTGCTTGTCTTCTTAAAACCATTATTTATTTACTGCCTTTCACTGTTTCAACCTAGAATCAATGTTATACCAAACGTAATCTGTCAGTATGTGTATAAAAACAAAATAACTAGAGCAGAGCTACAAGATGTGCTGAAACATCCAATCATTTGGTATCTCTGGAAAGCCCTGAATGTGCTCTGTACGGGACATCCAGACTTAAAACTGTGACATGTGAGGTCTCCGAGAAATTCACTAAAATATAATGTCCACTACAGAGGCAAAAACTCCATAGCTGGGTCTCAGGAGGATATGGATGCAATTGCATTATTCTATAAAACAAGCAAATTCAATACGCTTTTTTTTTTTTTTAACTATTCTTACTATTCTTCTGTATTGTTTTACTGTTCTTCAGCTTCTTTGGAGGTTAAAGGTCCAACTGAGCCGATTCTGGAAGGACAAGATGTGACATTGGAGTGTGTGAATACAGAATCCGAGTTGAACATGAGCACAGTACACTTTGAGAGGTTCTCAAAGGTAAGGTCACTAACACACAGTGGCAAGGAAATATCTGGTACACAATGTCCTTTGACGTGCATTTGTCTGTAAATGTCAAGAAAACAGCAGATTGAAACTGAATGACACCTTGTTTCTCACGGGAAATGAGAAGGGTTTAGGTTATTGTTGCTGTCTGTGCACGTCCTCTGCAGTGCTGCAGGTCTGATTACTGTATAAACAGAAAGCGAGAGATCTAAAATTACAAACCTATCTGTCAGGGACGCTTACTCTCAAATATCCACACAACTGCCCTCATGATTTTGTAAACAATCTTATAGGGAAATGGCAAATAAAGAACTATAACATTATTTTGAATGTATTTGTCTGGAGATCAAGACTGCAACTAGTATTTAAAGAGCAGGAGGCAGTGTGTGTTTTAGTGAGCTTCCGAGAGCTGTTATTCTGGATTTAATTAGTATCTGGCAGCGAGGGGCCTATGGAGGATTCACAGCATCTGCTGCTTCTGTCAGTGCAGAGTCTGTTTGTCACCTTTTCCAGCTATCTAAACGCATTCGAGCAAAACAGGTTTTCCATACCAGCAATCACAAAGACAGATGCTTTGTTTTGCAATCTCTCATTAACCTGTGTTAGTGAGACCCAAGTGCCAGTGCCCCGAATAGTCTACTTCCTCCAAGTGTAACATACTTTATCAAATTTGGCAAGTGTTCCTTACATCAGCAAGACGTTTTAACCCATAAAGCCTAAGCCATTATATTTGCTAACCAAATGTCTAAGGCCTCTGAATTATCAACCTGAAGTTGATGGAAAAAGCTGTTTTACACATTCTACTACATTCCTTCTGTCATGTGAATGATATTTTACTTTTTAAACAAGTAAAAAGCATTTTGGTATCATTTGGTCATGGTGCAAGTATCTTTTTGCTGTGAAATCATTACTGATTTTTATTAGTCAAAGAAAATGTAAGAATTTATTCATTTTTTTGATAACCACTTACTGAACTGAAACCGCTTAACTTTATATAATCATCCATACATATATTGTTTAGAAAAATATATTGAAATGTGACTATAAAATATGATACATCAGGCTATGTGTGTATCTCTAAATTGGCATTGCATTGCATTAAATGTTTTGCAATAACCACAATAAAAATACAGAGCATTGTTCATAAAACTAAGCACTTGAATATCATCTTACTAAATTATATGGGAAATACAGGGTAACGACTGATATTTATATGCCTTTTTTCTAAGTAGTGTGTTACACCGTTATAAGATCATATTGATTTACAAGCTATCAGTATTTCATCTAACTTTTGGCCAAATCAAATTTGATACTCAACAAAAAACAAATATTTATAATAGTGATTTCAAACACTATTATTTTATATGTAAGGCTTCATAGGGTTAAGGAAGATCTTTAAGGTAGAACAAGCAATCAAAATAAACAAGTTCCCCCAAAATGAAGTGAATGTTATTACAAAATCGGCCATAAAAATAAACATTTTGAAGAATTAAGTTTTTTTTGTCCCAAAAAGGACAAAAAATGCATCACTAAAGTAGTCAAAGTAAATCACTTGCTGGTAATATATTAAGTTGAAGTGAAATGAACATCATATTCAAGCTACTGGAGTGAAATATTTCTTTCTTTTTCTTCCCAACAGTACATGAAGAGGTGGTACCGGCTTGAGTCAGATCAGGCGTATTTCTACCGCCGGTGTTTTCTGTATGATGTGGATGTGAGAAGGGAGGAAGGCAGACTGCTCGTCTATATCGCCAGCATCCAGTCCTGGTCTGAGGGTCCATACCGCTGCGTCACTGAGGACAGTTCTGCTGCAGACAACTCCTCCCAACCCCTCACCATCCCCATACATTGTGAGTAAGAGACATCAAGGGCAGCATGAAAAGTGCTAACGATCTGCGATGCAAATCCCCACTGATTGCTACATACATAAATTGATCCATATGTGTCTTTATTGTCCAGAAACTTGAAATCCTTCCATCGTTGTATGTGAGGCAAGTTGCATCTGACATTTTATTGCAAGGAAGTTTTATATTTGGGATTTAAAGATTAGAGGACAAATACAACTCTTTATCTCCCAAGATGACAAAATCAATATTGGTATTGATTGGGGGCTTTACTGCGTGGAAAAACAGATGGATCGATACAGAAATGTTCAGTATGAATAATCAGATGGAGACAAGATGATCCATGCTCATATTGTATTATTACAGCGAACTTGGACTTAATATGCTATAATCATTTATGATAATCCATCGGTGTCACCAACAAGTTACAATACTGTTTAAAAGTTTGAGGTCGGTAAGATTTTTTAAATGTTTTTGAAAGAAGTCTCTTATGCTCAGCAATGCTGCATTTATTTATCTATTTATTTATTTAGCAAAATTTAAGTAAAAAGAGTAATACTGTGATTATTACAATTTTCCTATTTTAATAGATTTTATTATATTTATTTAGTCATTGCTCCAGTCTCTAGTGTCACATGATCCTTCAGAAATCATTCCAATATACTGATTTGGAAAGATTTTTCTGATTATTCTGCTTAAAAAACTGATAGAATCCTCCACCCCCACCCCTCCAGAATGTTTAGGATTTGATGAATAGAAAGTTTACTTTTATTTGATCTAAATCTATCGGTCACTTTGGATTAATTTAATGCATCATTTCTGAATAAAAGTATTAATTTCTTTCAAAAAATCTTACTGACTGATGATGTTTATGCATGTATATTTTATGAATATATATAAAAATAATGTTTATTGTATATCTTATATAATATT